GATGTGGGCTACGATTAATTAGCTCTGTAAAAAGAGCAGTGTGGCTGAGCGTTCCACCACGGCGCTGGAGATGTTTATGGGGACTGTGCTGGTCACTTTCTGACTGCCTCAGAGCAGCGTTGGTTAGCTTGTTGAACCTCCCTAATCTGGGACAACCCTGGTCCATGGTGATGCTGTCATTCCTCAGTGGAAGGAAGAAGGGCAGCTTTAGGAGGAGTCAAGGTTGTGACTTTGGTTAAAGCAGGTCACTCGCTGCTAGGTTATGGCATTTTATTTCTGGCTTCTGCCCCCTGGATGAATGGAAACATGCACTGGGCAGCTCCTTAGCTTGCACCAGCCTCATGATATCACTGCCCCTCTGGCCATTTGGAACATAGATATGTTTCTTGTAGATGTTTTTGTCTTACCTCTGGACTTGGTATGAGTTGATCTATAGATTATATGACCATATTCTAGCTGGTTTCTGATCTAGTACAGTTAAGAATTTCACCTTCATCATGCTTAAGCTGGAAGATCAAATTTATACTGCACTGGATTTCCCTGTTTAAAAATTTCGGAAGCTTGAATACTGAAAAATTAGAGATACAGTCATGATCCAAGTAGGAAGACATTTACCAAAGTGTTGGTGGTGAATTTATCTGGAGAAGGAACAGAATTGGGAGATAGGGATGAAGAAGGAATTTTGAATTTTAGTGTATACTTGATGATTCGAGAAAGGTATGTAGATTGGTAAACTAACAAGCAAACTATTTAATTTTAAAGCAAAAAAAAAAATTCTTAGGAACTAGAACATGGTACTGCTTTTATGGCCGGGGGATCTAGCAGGCTTGTAGAGAATATAGATCCTTTAACTGGGTGAAATCCAGTCAGCATACTAAGGATGCTAATGGATGTTTTAAACCAGGAATTGGAACTAAATGAAATATTGATTTGGTTCAGGTTCAGTTCAAAAGCTACTCTGATATTCTGGTTTTGTTTCAGGTCAGTAATTTTAGAAAAAGTTTTGGGTACGATATAGTCTAGTTGAGCTTTAGAGGAAAAAAGCGTTGGCTCAGTTGGATATTTGCAAAGTAATAGTTTATTACAGGTTTTGCTTTAGGTTTCTACTTGAAATGGAACTATGTTACAAAAGTGAAATCATTGGGTGTGACTTTTATTTGACATGGAGGCCATCATAATGTTTTGTGATGATCAAGTTCAATAATGGAATCTTAAGCAGCAAAGCTAACCCGTGGCAGTGTTTTGTTTACATTAAGATAAATATATACAGTATTCAGGTAGGTCCCTTGAGGCAGGATATATATTGTTAATGAAACCAGGATTAGTATCTCAGTTGTATGGGGGAGGGGTTGTTGTTTGTTTTTGTTTTGTTTTGCTTTTTTTGTTTTTTGAGAACTTCCCTCTGGCTCAGAGCAGTTTTCCTGGGGAAATTTCCACAAAATGCATTTTATGGGCTGAGAGGCACAGGAAGGCTTGGAACTGTTGTAGACACTCACTGAATGTAGCAAACTGAGTGTGAAGTTGATGGTAAACACTGTGATGGGAAAGTATGTTTGGTTTTGGTTTGCTTCCCAAGAAGATATTTGAGAGACCTAGTTGGGCTACATGGTTTTCATAGAATCCTTTTTACAGTCTGTCTTTGCAAGGTGATTTTCTTGTTGGGGAGAGCCACTGGCCAGCTTGAGAACATCACCTTTCCCCTCAATTTGCATGGTCAAATTTGGTAATGCTTTTTTTTTGAAAGCCCAGTACTGCTCTGCAAACCCAGTATGCAGGGTCTCTGCAGGATATTCTAGATTGGCAACTTTTTCTTTCCTGGAACAACCTGACATGACAGGAAATTATTCTATTTGAACTCTCCGACAGAGCCAATTAATTCTGACTTCCTGCAGGAGAGAGTGGTAGTGGAATGCATGTTTGTGCAGTGTCAGAGTTCCCCGTCCACGGCTACCCTGGCTTCCTGCTTCGCATTCAGAGGATTCGGGCCCTACAGTGTTCTAATAAAACAATGGCGAATTTGTTCCTTGATGCAACTGTTTCTATTAATGAAATGGTAACCTAATTAATTGGTAATTAGGATGCCTCAGAGGTCTATTTCCCTTTGAATCATTCACTAGAGAGACTACCGTTCTAGTAAAGCCCCAGCATGTTCCTCAAAAGGAAAATGCATGAAAGAAATCCTGGATCTCACTGCAGGTCGGATTAGTTAAGAGCTTGTGTGGTTGATAGAACCAGTTTTGGTCAATTAACTATGACCTTTCTTGTCAAATAGAAGGAACATGAGCTATAACTCTCTATAACAGCTCTTTATTGTATCTTCTGTGTCTTGTTTGTGGGAGTGACTATTTTTGGAACTCTTCCTGGAGGGTTGCATGCTGAACCCCTCTCCGCTGTGTTTTACAGGAGAAGCTGTGCCTGAGGACGAACAGATCAGTGCGAAGGACCAGAAGACTCTGGAGCCCTGTGATAACACCCCCATCATCGACAATATTGCCCCTGTTGTTGCTGGCATCTCTGCGGAGGAGAAAGAAAAGTATGATGAGGAGATCTCCAGTCTCTACAGACAGCTGGATGATAAGGTCTGTAGCCAGAGATTATAATTCTCGCTCCAGTACAGAGACTAAAGGTGGCAGGTCCCAGACCTACTGACCGGAAGCAGCTTCAAACCCTGTGTTGCTGCAGACTATGTTTAGGTCTGTCTTCCTAATGTTTACCCTAGCTCTTGCTTGGGCAGACTCAGGGAACTTGACTCGTGCGGAATAGAGACTTTCATAGAATTTGATTGGAAGAGTAGACTGTTGGCCTGGATAGACAGTTTTTACTTCTAGAAATTGGACTGGGGCTGATCATTGCATGAAAAGAGGGAGTGGGGGATGTGAGTGTGCGTGATCTTTAATTCTTTCTTCTTCTCTGAGCCTTTTCCTCACTTCTGTGAAACTCCAACGATAGTCCCAGCTACAGGGACGAAGGTGGTGGCTCCCAAAACTCAAGTGTGTGCTTAATCATGTAGCTCTCAGGTCTTGGGATGAGGAATTGACTGTGGTGGCATGTGGTCTGACGGCTTCTACCCTATCGGTAGAGCTGTTTTCAGGATCATGCTCTTGCATGAAGTAGTTTGAGCATGCTGATTGGGATGTCTAATTTTATGGCAAACTTTTGGGACTCGAATAGGCATGTCAATGCACAAGGAATTGAGGTAAAGGGACGTTGCATAGCATTCTGTATCATTCATCTCCAGTGGAGATCGGGTCAGGAATCCCAGAAGCACAGGGATTCAAATTAATGTTTCACAGGTTTGGCATGCTGCCCTTGGAATATTCTAAATCCATTCAGTTGATTTCATGAAGATTGCTGATATTTTCAGTGGATGTAACCTTCCCTTTGTCTGCTGTGGTTAAGCTCAAAGTCCTGGAAACACCTCTGGTTGGGATGAAACAGCTTTGTTATGTTAATGTTGCTATCAATCTTACAGGCTTCTGTTTGGAGTAAAACTCAGAGTCCAGAATCACCTTTACAAGAGAAATGTGGAAATGTGACTGGTCACCTTAAGGAAGCTAGTTCTGCTTTGTAATTCTGGAAGTTTGCGTTATAACCACAGCATTAAACTTGGGTCATGCTACTCTTCTGATGACATATTTAATAAGCTGTTCACACCAGTGAGAGCTGGGTTAATTGCCCTTTAGGCACTTGAGGTACTGTATCCTTCCATTAATACTCAAATATTTTCTAACAAAACCTCAAATAATCCAAGAGAAAAAGGAGATCAATGATAGGTTACCAGCATAGGCAATTTCTTGATTTCTCCAAAGAAATGCATCATTTAAACATATTGCAATTTTTTTTCTCATTTTGGAATTGATAGGTTCATTTTTAGTAACTCCAAAAGAATCCTGGATGAGGGTACTAACCTGATTTTATATTCTGTTCTCTATGAATAGACACCTGCCATGGTTGGAATTGGGGTCATTTACCTTGGCAGCATGAGGTACTTTCATTGATGTGAGAAAGACTTCAGAGTTTTGAATCCCTCTTCCAAAAGGTAGTAATGAGGACCGAGCTCGGAGTGGTACAGATGCCATGCCTTACAGGTATTTAGTTGATAGCTGGCAGAGTTGACCCTCGAATCTCTGCTTCTTGATGACCAACCTAGGACATTTTCTGTTATATTGTTTTCCTTTAGTATATGCCTTAAAAACCTTGTAAAGCACACATTTCAAGGTTTGTATTTTTGAACCAACACAGGGTGATGCTGAGAGATCTGGGAGAGAACTGAGCCCCAAAGCCTCAGACTTAGAGGGCACAAAGCTAGTGGTTGACCTTAGTAACTCTACCCATGGACTGCCTTATCAGCTGTCATTCTTATTTGTTCTCTTCTTAAAGGTTCTAGAGGGTATTTTATGTTTCTGATGATGTAGTTGGTTTGATACTTTTGAGAACTCATGGATTTGGACCTGGTACCTTTATAGATTATTGAGTAGTAGAGCTGAAAGTATTGAGGTCTAGATGAGAAACTAGCCCAGGGTGTTTGCATGACTTCCCTAAGTTTACATCACCCATGGGTGGCAGAACCGCAATGAAATTACATGTCTTCTGACTCCTAGCCCAGTACTCATCCCTAGCCTTACTCCTTTAAATGAGGCACCTGTCAGCTCTAATGAATCTGTGTAGAATGTGGTGAGAGAAAGGCTATGTGATCTCCTCCCAGCTGCCCCTCTGTCCCTCCGTGCTGTCTATCTAGGGATCTCAGGCTAGATGCTGTCTCAAGGTAATGCTGTGCGATGGAAAAGCATGCACTTAGGAGTTAGACCTATGACATAGTAATGCCGAGGCCTGAGCTGCCGACCTACCCTGCTGGAGATGTTTTTCTCAGCTGCAACACGGGGCTCATATCTGTGACCTCAAAAGGTTGCAATGGGGATTAAAAGTTTCTGGTGCATAGCAGATGCTCCATAAATATTAGTTTCTTTTTTTCCTGTCTTCTCCTTTTCTATTTGTTTAAGGAAGAAACCACATCATATGTGGTTTCAGAGGGGTGGTGATTCAGAGGTGGGCTGAAAGCAAAATTATAAGATGAGCAAACTGGTGTTGGCACTGTCTCTTATTCCCCTTCATCTCTCCGATATTACGGTACTATTGGAGACGTATGAGAAGAACTAAGTGTGAGTAGAAATGTAAGTTGAACCTTATTTCACTGATTACCATTGCAACAAAAACATCTTTATAATTAAAGATGACCAGTGACCAGTGACCTGTTGACCACTCATCTTTTTCATGTATAAGAAAGTTCAAGTAGAAGAATATTTTTGGGGAAGTACTTTAAAATCTGCTATGCATGGATTAGATCTTAATAGCATCAGAGTCAGCATGCATAAACATGTTCCACAAGGTGTACTTGAATGGTAGATGTAGACTGCGTGGCACGTTTTATTCTGAAAATTTTGAAAATTTTTTAGAAATCACAATGGACAATGCTCCTTCCTTAGAGCAATTACCTTAATAAAGGGTAAGTGTAGTTTTGGAAACGCCTCTCGTACAATGATTCGTGTCCTTATAATGTATCCCTGTTCTTCATCCTTCCCAGCTGAAGCTAGGGACCCTTAGTTTCTCACTATACCTCAAAAATTACTGCATCATCCCGCCTTGCCACCTGTCAGGAAGGAAGCCTGCGTTTTCAGGCTTTGAAATGAACATAGTTTGAGAACAAAGCACTCATTCCACCATTTTTCTTCTCTTGTGATTTACATCACTCGTAGCTGTTGCTTATATGTCCCAGGGGAAGCGATGGCAACTCCTGATGTTAAACGCCTTGAGTTTTTTATGTTAAGTTGTTTAATATTTATGTGCTGAGGAACGTAAACCCAAAATTGTTCCTGATGCCTGACATTCTAAGTTCACAAAGTAGAAGAGAAAATAAGCCCTACAAAATAGTCTCCTAGTTGTGAAAGTGCCATTTTTGGCATTTGCACTCTGGTGTAATTTCCCTAATTCCCCTGCCAGAAATCTGATTTCGGGAGGAAAGTCATCAGTATTTTGTAGAACCATTAAAGAAATAGCGGTGTAAAAAGTTCAGTAGAAACAGAATCTCCTTGAAGAGAGAATTAAGGCCAAAAGATGTGCTGCACAAGGGAAAGGCAGATACAGATCCTGTAATATTGATTTTACAATTTCCTTGCTCCATGGAGAGCATTAGGTGTGCTGCTGAGTTAATCTGATGTAAGTGTATGCACAGACACGACCAGATAAGCTTGGGAATATCCTGTGGAAAACTGAGTTTTGCCAACAAGGTTCGCTAACCAGGCCCTTGAATTCACCCCTCACCTCATCTCTAGAAAAGGTAGAAAGCACAGTAAGGGTCTCTCCGCCTCCCCCTGCCCTTCTTTGGGCTGCTGATGAAAGCACCTGGCACAAAGAGGGGCCCAGTAATGCTGAACAGAATCTGACTCTGTGGGGTTTAGACTCTAGAAGTGTCACCAAATAGGATTTTCTCCTGTTTCTAAGGGAGAGGTGTATGTGAAGCCAAGTTGTTCTCACAGGCTGTGCTTCAGATGTGCATCTGAACTCATGAAAATCTTTGTAGCAAAGACTGAGCTCATGTGATTGGGCGTTGTCCGCCTGCTGCTTTGCTTGCAGTGAGTGGGTTGACCGTGTCTAGGGAGAGGCAGAGGCATTTACATGGGCAGCGAGAGGTGGGTAGCTCTGGCTCAGTGGCAGCAACACACACCTAGTGGCAGAAAATGAGAGCGAGAGAATGAATATGCCTGTGGGAGAGCCTTTTCCCCCTTCGGAGACAGGCCAATCACTAGGCATCAACATTTCTGTACCCCTAGCTTCCTAATTCCCCACCCCCATGCCCCCAAACTAAGGAAATTAACTTCTAATCAAGAGGGAGGTCTGCTCATGCCAAAGATTAATTCCCTAGTAAATGTTTTTCCAATCTAAGAAAGAGGCTTGAAGTAGAAATACTGGTCTCTCCTA